CCTAAATTCATAAAAAAAAAATTTAAAGTAGGATATTTTTAACAGCTGCAATGATCTATTGTTTTCAAAGTTTTGTTCATAATCTTCACTAAAAAATTTTTCTCAAACTCTAAGTGTGCAACATAATCATACTGCTATTGAAAACAATCTTTTATTATTAGTGAAAAAGAGCATACTATGACAAATTGACAGCCAACATCATACTAAAGGGACAAAACCTGAAAGCCTTCACTTTAAAATCAGGAACAAGGCAAGAATGTGCACTGTCAGCACTGCGATTCATACAGTTCTGGAAACATTAGCCAGAGCAATTAGACAAGAGTGAGGAACACAACAAATAAGGATAGGAAAGAAAAAAATGAAATTATTATTTGCAGATGACATGATTCTCTACATAGAGCACCCAAAAGCTCCACAACAGTGAAACCACCCACATAATCTTCCTGTGTAGATTTTTGCATAAAGAAAAATGTAAAATCATCTAGAGCTCTAGTTTTCACTGCCCTGTGATAAAACATGACAAAGATAAGTTATTTTAAGGAAAATACAGCAAAGCCTGTTCATTATTGCAACATGATTTAATTTTAACTCCTCTAAGGGCCCTTTATTAATAAAATAATATTAGCTCCAATTAAAATACAATCTTTCACAAGCAAAGGTTTAATATCTGAAGTACAGATGGAAGCTACACATTTTTTTACTCTAATGGCATAAATGGACTATTTAAAGCTGATATGTAATACATTTCTCATTTCATTAGCATAAGGAACAGTTGTGGGTATCTCTACTTACACCATGGACATATGGTTGCCTAGATCAAACGAGGAGTAAATTTTATAATGTTTTCTAGAAAATATGAAGTGGATATAATTAAGTAGCCAGTTAATGGGATTTAGAAGGAATGCAAGCTGACAAACCTGTTTGAAACTAAATCTACCCAGGCTTCAAGAAAAAGAGGTCACACAGACTGCATTCATGCTTTATAACCATTGATTTTAAAAAGAGGTATACCTTAAATAAATTCATGTTACTCAATTGAAATGTCCTTTACCATAAACTCTTCCGAACTTTGAAGAGGAAATTTATTCGATTAATGAAGCCTTTTGGTCAATACATTGTTGAACTCAAGCAAAGCATTTTGGCTAATATGGATGCAAATTCATGTTTTTCATTTAATAAGTTATTTGTATTAATCCAGACAGAAGAGCATGCTACAGATACTGCAGAGCATGGGCTTTTATTCATGACCAAAATGGCTTTCAACCCATTAAAAATGAACTTGGATAAGCGCATGAAGTGGAACAGCAGCACCACAGCTTGTAGGAAACACTCCAAGTAGCCACACACACCAAAGTCCAAATCAATATTGAAATCTTTAAAGTCTATTCTTTTTCTATTGGGTTGATTCAGATATACAGGGTGACAGCTGACATTCATGGGGCCCTTACCTAGGATGACAGTGGGCTGAGCATCAGTATGTGTGTCTAATTTAATCTTTAGAGCAACTCTCTGAGGCAGGAACTATTGCCATCCCGATCTAACTGATGAGGAGGCTGAGCTCACATTGCTGGTACGTAAGGTGAGGTGGCTGAAGCCAAGGGCCCCTTCCTTGAACCCTAAACCTACTTTGCCTCCTTTTCATAAATAAAGCCCTTGGGCTTCTGAGCTGCAATGCTTCAGGGAAAATTAATGCTAATTTCCTAACAATGAGGTTAACAGACCCCTAGAGCCAAAATCCCCTAAGCCTTCAGCCACTTGCTGGTAGTCACCCAGGCATCTTTTATCCCTTTTTATTCCTTGCTAAATTTATTATGTGCATTTGAAAGTAGGTGAGAGTATATAATTATCAAATTTAAGAGGTCACAAAAGAATTCAGGCTCGTTTTAGGTAATGATCTTAAGTGATGTCACCAAGTTATCTTTCTATCATTAAGGAACCTTGAATTAAAATATTTCTAATTACAGTATTACATGGGAAAATTACCAATGCTGGAGAACATTGCCTCGGAAAGCTCACAGAATGCTGAATAATGGCTTCATGTGGCATTGGCAGCTCTGAGGGATGAGTAATGGGTGGGGGGGATCCGGCGTCAACCACTTCTGTGATTGCTGCACATCCTCTCATATTCCCGTCATTTAGCAAACGCTGCTTACCGTGAGTCATAGTCTTCTAATATTTAGAGACTCAGTCTTACGTCACAGAAATGTTTGTAGCTCGCGGATGACGCGCCATTGAACTCTGAGGCTGGAAAGGCTCCAGCGCAATCACAGATCGCGTCCTGAAGTCCCGACTCTGGACAGCTCCCGAGGCTTCGCCGCCAGGGTCAGCGAGGGGGCGGGCGAGGGCAGCACTCCAGCCTTTCTGTTGTGTCCCGCTCCTACCACCCCAGCTTCTGGCATAGCTACCGGGGAAGAAGCTAACGAGCAGAAAGAAAGGGCTTTACGGTGTCTCTCTAGGAAGCTGGTGTTGCGGGATTTTCCCCTCTGAAAAATATATTTTTCCTATGCAGGAAGCAGCGACCACTGGCTCTAGCATACACCCATCCTTCTCCACAGTGATGGAAAAGCTCTTTTCTCTGAAGCTTAAATTATTTTTTTTCAGAAAAATGTCTTCGTATAGGTAAACTACAGGCTAATATTAAGTAATTTTTTTTTTTTGGTTTAAATATTTTAGAAGTGTATCTAATGACAACACAAGATAAAGATTTCGGTCTTTTGAATTTTTTCTATCCTCGTTTTCCTACTTGATTTACTCATAATAATTGGTTAGTAAATAATATTCAGTTTTTCAAGTTGCACCTGTGTCAATAATGTTTTATGGTCATCTTTGTTTTCCATTTGCTTTAATAGAAAAAATTGCCTCTTTAACAATAATTGTTCTCATTTTAGTATTTCTCAGTAAGAATTCCCAACTATTTACATGATCCATATCAGTTCTTACACCATCAAGCTTCTCAAAGCCATCAATGTGAAGTTTTAGCTGGTGTGATAGCCAACCTCGATACTGCGCCCTGTAACCTTGGCCAGCTGGTAGCGGACTCTTAGGGCTCATCCCCGACGGGGTACGGAGCCATGTGCCCCAGGAGCCATAGGCAAAAAGGTGTTGTGCCACTTGCCATGCACCGCTGAGGACAACTGGCAGGTCCCATCTTGCCTGCTATTCGCTCTACGAGCATCATCACTCTGCGGTACACATGCCTATACAGAGGCCCTTGTGGCAAAGAATGAGTCCAGGGCTAGCAAGGAAATGAGGGCTGAAGCTGACAGGATGGGAGAGTAAGCTCAGAAGCAGGTTTTACAGCCCCACCTGGACTTTCAGGCGACAGCAGCCTCGGATGACACCTTCGTCCTGGAGCACACTATGCCATAACCACTCAAGTAAGACATTCTAGGATTTCTGACTCCAGAATATGGGAGAAGAATGAATTGCTACTAATCTGGGTTTCTAAGCTGCACAGTGACTTATTTCATGATGAATAATCACTATCCAGAGTCCTGTAAGTTCTAAGAGAATAAATTAGCTTAGCCTACTCTAGCCATGCAAAGGGAATCATAATGCAGATGCCCTTCTGTGTAGCTTGATTCAACATGAACTTGTGCAGCTTTTGTCACATTGTTCCCTGCACTATCAGACTTTGCATTTTTATTGCTGCCTAGTATGCTACAGTACAATTACACAACAATCCATTCATTCTACAGCTAATGGGAATTTGGACAATTTTCTGTTTTAGACCGTTAAATATAGCGCTGCTATAAACACCCTAGTGCCTGTCTTTGAGGCCATGTATTGCTCATACATGTCATGCTATTTTTGTCATATTATTTAGATTCTGTGACTATGTAAAGTGGTTGGGAAAACCTTACATCTATTAACCCATCCTGAGGATCTTAGTTTCTCGATATCTTCTTTAGCTTTTGACATATCCCATCATTTAAATTTTCACCTTTCATTGGAGTACATTCTTTGCTTATTAAAGATATTAAAATGATATCTTTACCAAGA